GAAAAGTTGTACAGAATTATTGACAAATTGTTATGTAGTTGGGGGAATTTGAGGCTTTCAGAGAATGTTGTAAGATATTTCAAAATATTGAAGAAATATCTGTAACATCGACATCAACGCTGGATAATTGCAATTATATGCTATTTTGATCCAGCTCCAGAGTTATCAACCACATAATGATTAATAATAGAATTTTTGTTAAATATGTTTTTATACATTACATAAAATATTTTTAGGTGAATATTCCATTCGCTGGTGAAACGCAAATTTCTCTGGTAGATGATCCTGCAATGGGTATAAACTATATAGTGAATGTAGGAGGTTCCAGGGCGCTTACAACATTCTTCGAAGGTAGTGACGACTGTAACTCTTCTCAGGAAAATAAGAGCTCCTCTGGCACTGAAACTTTATCTCAAAATACTAAGTAAGATATTCTTTAATTATATTCGTTTACATTTTTTATATTTATTAATATTGTATACAAATTTTATCACAAACAATTCTTGTATGTTTTCAGTGCTTCGGATGAAAATAATAATGCCTCTACGCAAACTACTGAGGTAAGTTAGTAGATTTATTGTAAAGAAATTAGATTAAATAAGAATATTGGCATAAAAGTTATGCTTTTCAATTCTGTTCACATTGCAAATATTATGGAACCTTATTTTCCTAAAACTCAAGTTTCTAAAATTTGAAATCAATATTTAATTATTAAAAAATATTGTTCTGACAGTCGACATATCATCTAACATTTAACATTTTTACAAAGATATATGATTTACATAATTTACAATAATATTATTTTTGATACTATGCCAATTTCTATGCTTTAGTATCTGTCAATGATAATAGATATTACAATGTTATGTTTGATTGATATTTATATGAATAAAATAATAGATATATATAGATATCAAAAATAACAGAATGTAGGAATGAAATGAAGTAAATACAACACAATTAATGATAATCTACATGCAAATGTAATAATGTCACATTGATGTGATTGATAAGAATTTCCATAACAAATTAAGGGAGTACACTTAAAGTTCATCATTCGAAATAAGTGATATGCTACAAGTATACCGTGTTATTACTAGGAACCTATTTTGGTCAAAGGAATGCTTGCTCTCTGTCCACACTGCGGCTACAGTTCACTACACTTCAACCGATGTGAACGGTGTAATACAAAATTAAAAACTGAGGAAGTCAAGTCAATATCTATTGCAGAAAGAAAGGAGGCTGGGATATCTGTCGGTGTAAGATTTATGATTGCGCGGTGCCAGAAGACCGATATATCTATTACAATGTTATAATGAAATCACCTGTTATAATGATATTGTTTGACTAATGTGAATGGCTAACAAAATAATTCACTTTAATTCACAATTTAATTCACTCAAGATTAAGAATTTAACTTAAGAAGATTATTAACATAACATTTTAATACAGTAAGTTAGAGCGTTTTTTTTTTCTAGAGCGCATATTGTCATTAAGAAGTGTTTTGTCTAGAGAAAAATTTAGACAATTATTTCTAAAATTATGATATTTATATCACTATGTCATTACAGATCATATTGAAAGCAGTGTACGATTATCTTAATGTATTATATTTCCGCCACAATTTCTTCTACCAATATTTCTCGTGTTAATTTATAAATATATCTTACGGTTGTATATTTGTATACAGATATTCTACAAGAATAATGAACGAAATGTTACGAAATTGGAGAAAGTAGAACGCGATGACCCTCCGTGCAAACGGCCCAGAGGAAATGGTAAAGGTGCAGCTTCAAAACTATTCACAAAAAGCCTATTCACAAAGCCTATTCGTAAAAAGTCAGGTATACATATAATAATCTAATGTATCTCACGCATGAAACATGTGTATGCATTAATGATTATTTTGTTAATTTTTAGAGTGCTTGACAATATCATCTGATGAAGAAGGCAGACCTAAAAAAACGGGAAGCGTTATATGATAATGTTTTCAGTGCATCTGATGAAAATAGTAACTCTACACGAACTATTGAATTAAGCTAGTAGGTTTACTGTAAGGAAATTAGCTTAAATATTGGCATAAAACTTGTCAATTCTATTCATATTGCAAACATAACAGAATTATTTTTTTTATAACTTAAGTTTCTAAATTTTTTTTTTTACACATTTTCCGAACGAAATATCAATGCATGCATGCTATTATATTGTACGATAGTAAAACGCATATGCAAATACAAAGTTTACTTACAGTTATATTAGTCGCGACGTTCCTCATTTCGGCTCCAATCAGTCCAATCCATCCTGTGTCGGCCACGTTCTGAAAAAGAAACGGGAAATGACGTATGAACATGGAATGCTTGCCCCTACTGAAAACATGAAGCAACATCAGTGAGAGAGGGCATTAGGATGTTTTGATGCTTTCCTTATTCAATTGCTGGAGAATTCCTTCGACTGATGTTGTTTTCACGTTTTCAATGGGAGTGCGCCGTCTACCTTGTAAGGCTATGCGTACGAAGCGGCTCGTCCCGTTCATTTTTCGCGCCCCAGTAGCGACGCGCCGGCGCGGCGATAGTGAATAATAATGTAAACCTATGGTAGTGTCAAGCTCTTCACACAGCTGAACACAACACACGTGTAGCGTAGCTAATATTGACATGGAAGACAATTCCTCAGAACGCGGTCAAGAAACAGAACGTAGAGCGCAACGGTCTCCTTTGTCACGATTGCAATATGAGAACAATGCAGGTGAAAGCATCGTTTTCCTCCGAGAAACTATAAGCGATCCAGCGAATACTATAGTGCAGGATCAGATTCAAGGAAGCAGGGCAAAAATGCTAGTGATGTTGCCCACAGGGAAGCAGAGACTGATCACATTCGACATCCCGAACGAGGACTGCACTGTACACGACCTATTGGACCAGGTACGTGCAGTATTTTGGGCAAGGTACGTTTCTATAAAGTTATTTGTAGAACAGTTGTACAGAATGATTGAGACAAGTTGTTATGTAGTTGGGGAAATTTGAAGATTTCAGAGAATGTTGTAAGATATTTCAAAATATTGCAGAAATATTCAAAACATCAACATCAACGCTAATTGCTATTATATCCTATTTTGATCCAACTCCAGAGTTATCAACCACATAATGATTAGTAATAATCGAATTTTTGTTAAATATGTTTTTATACATTAATTATATTTACTTGAAATATTTTTAGGTGAATATTCCATTTGCTGTTGAAACGCAAATTTCTCTGGTAGACGATCCTACATTGGGTATAAACTACATAGTTGATGTAGGAAGTTCCGGCGTGCTTGCAACATCCTTGAGGGCAGTGACGAATGTAAATTTCCCAGGAAATTATGAGCTCCTCTATCACTGAAAATTTATCTTAAAATACCAAGTATGATATTCTCTAATTCGTTTACATTTATCATATTTATTAATATCATATGTATATCAATTTAATTACAAAAAATTCTTATATGATAATGTTTTCATTGCATCGGATGAAAATAGTAACGCCTCTACACAAATTATTGAGATAAGTTAGTAGGTTTATTGTAAAGAAATTAGATTAAATAAGAATATTGGAATATAAATTATGCTTTTCAATTCTGTTATATATTGCAAATATAACAGAATCTTATTCTTCTATAACTTAAGTTTTTAAAATGTGGAATCAATATTTAATTATTAAAAAATATTCTCGAGAATTCTCCAGCAATTGAACAAGGAAAGGCATCGCAATCTCCTGTTGCCCTTTCTTTCACTGATGTTTTCCATGTTTTTAGTGGGGACGAGCAGTCTATTTATAAGTCATATTAATATATATGTATATCTGTATGTTCGTATGACATTTCCCTTTTCATTTTCAGAACGCGGCCGATATGGGATGGATTGGGACCAAAACGAGGAGGCGAAGAGAGATTCCTTAACGAAAAAACAAATATGTATATTTCTTACGACTTTAAAAATTTGTAATTTTTTGAATTAAAGTGAACTTCTTCATAATTGTATTATTATGCATAGTTATAATCAGTAACTGATGTTTAATTTATTATTGTTATAGTATTATACAAAATAATTTATTACTTTATATTACAATGAATATGGAAATGTATATTCGAATGTGCAATTTTTTGAAAATAAGATTCTAACAATCGCTCGGAAAGTGGAAGCACTGACACGCATTACAGAGGTGTGTACCCGCGATGCAGAAAAGTGAATGTTGCCATGTAGTTCACATCCGCTTCTTCAGAAGGCGTTAGTGCGCAAAGACATCCGTCTTCGGCGAAACATGTGGCCGCGAGCGTATGGTAAAAGATTTAAAGATTCTCTTTCACGTGAAATATACGCGTCCGAAGTAGAAACGTACGCGCGTACAGCAATTGACGAAAAGAGCTTATCCTGCGTGAAGTGAAAATTGTACTCGTCGAAGTAAGTAGCCAAGGCCAATTCATTCTAACACGCACGTAACCTTATTTTTCTTGCTGCACAGGCTGCACTCAGCTTCCACTTCGCGATGACAATGCGATGTTATTTATTTCCACGGAAATCTCGCGATTGCGAGTTGAATTCGAAGCGGCGCTTTGCGAATAAATTTGTCATTAGGAGTCCTTTACCGAGTTCTGACGATTTCTCTGTTCGACAGATGTCTGTGGTATCCTCAAGAGTCAGCAGCGTGTCGTCTATCCTGAAAGCCAGCGGAGTTAGGGCGCAGTTCGTTAAACAGCCCATCAAGTTGTGCAAGCTCCCGAAGGATGTTAAAGATATATTGTGTAATTTCACAAAGGGTAATGGGACTAAGGAGTACGAGAAGTTGATATACTCGCTGAAAACAGGCGCTATAAAGGTAACAACAGGCAGAAAAAATGCAAGAAAAATTTTCCAGTCTTTTAAAATCTTTTACCGCGCTTAATATATATATATATATATATATATATATATCATATGGACATTCTAATTAATTGCGTATTATGATGCAAGACGCTGTATTCAAAGCTCCTCAAACTCCTCCTTGTTTGTTTTTTTTTCCAGGATAGCGATTTAGCAGAATTTCTAATGGAGACAACACAATGTATATCTTTGTTAGACATTAGATACAAATTGTTTGTTCAAGCACTTCTTCAAATTGACTGGCTAAATAGAGCACCAGATGTGATTTTAAATTATAAACTCTTTTTAAAAGATTTAGTATGTATGCAGACAGTATATACAAATATTGTAATAAATCGGCTCGTCGAATTGTTTAAACCAAGTAAGTTTTACATTCAGTAACCTTTAATAATACTTTAATATTTTATTGGAAATGATGAGTTATTAGTTATTATAATACTTAATTTTGCAGCTATTTTTGAAGATAGTATTACTGGACACAAGATTGGACAGTTTAAAGATGAAGATATAGAAAAGCTAAATCACATACATGACATATTACATATAATTTTGAAAGTAATGCCAATGTAAGTTACGGAATGACTAAAAATAATTATTAATTTTTTATCATAATTATATGTATATATACATGTTATACATTTTTTTTTTTTTAGGTCAAATGAGGTCTTACTAGAATCCCTTAGATTTCAATTTCCATTGTACGTTGTTCATGGCGCTTATATACATGAAATTTATATATATGCATTATTAAAAGTTCTAAATTATGCACCTCAGTTGAGATCAGCTATTTTAGTTCTTATTATTGACAGGTGAGTTTTTCTGCTGATAAAAATTTAGCAAACGAAATTTTTGACTGCATTGCAATTGTTTGTTAATGAAATATGGATTCTCAAAATGAATTACCATTAATCTCACTCCTTTACTTACAACGTTTAACTCTAATCAACTTTTTATAAAATTGGAGTATATGTAAGAGTCCGATTTGATCGTAGGAGCCTACTGTGATTTTACTTTGCTAATTAAAAAAAATGTATGTTTTATCTGTATTTTAGACTAACAAAATTGGATGTCAATATACCTCGTGAAGAAGCAAGTAGTGATGAGAAAGACGATGTAGCAGATGATTGTGTCAGCTACAATGATGATGATAATCTGAGTAAAATAAACAATGACACAGATAGAAGAAAAACTGTCCATCCAATTGCACATACATTGGATTCGTGTATGGAATTATTCTTGAAATATATGGACGAGTTTTGTTTTGTGAATAAGGTTCTGCAAATAGAAAACTTAAAGATACTATACGATGATATTGTCTACGCATTTGAAACAATAATATTACGTACGTACGCTAGCCGATACGTGCAATACATCATGTTCTACATTTGCAGCTTTAGTCCCATGATTACGAAAAAATTCATAGAATGGTTGTGGTTTAAAATAACCAATCCCAATGAACCGGTTCTTCAGCAAACAGCTGTTTGCTATGTTTCTAGCATGCACGCTATTGCCTCATTTATCTCTCCTGGGTAAGTAGCACAATATCTGTATTATATTTGATAATTTTATGCGGGTAATACGTATTTTTGAGAAAAGAACCGCTCCTTCAGCCTTCTAACGTTATTATGCTATTTCCTTCTAGGTTGGTACAAATTATGATGTCGAGGTTGGCGCAATGGATACACAGATATATCACTTTGCAAGAAAATTCGGAATCTATTGATGCAAAATCACACGATGTATTTTATTCCGTTTGCCAAGCGTTCTTTCACTTATTCGTCGCGAGGCACGAGCATTTTGTTGTATCAAAAGATGGTGAGTGCATGCATTTATTGTATGATACGAAAGTTTACAAATTTAAACAGCGACAGATTTTGAAAACAGATATATTTTTCTTCCTTTCAGGATTATCGTTTCTTCATGATCTTGATATATCAAGAATCGTCACTTGTAAATTAAATCCCTTGAAGATGTGCGACACCAAGATCGTTTGCGCTTTCGCCGATATTACATTCACGTATCAGTTAGCGTACTGCCATACTGTAATTGAGAACAACAAACGCAATCAGTTACCCACTTTCGGAATAAGAACTCGCTTGGCCATTTCGGTTCCTCATTTTTTCCCGTTCGAATCTTATACGTTAGAGTATAGTGGACAAAAAATAACTCCTTTATTTCGTAATAATTAACTGTCGATACAATATGAATAAAGAAAAAGAATATATAATTTATATAAATAAATTATGAAGTTACGTTTTACATCAGCATATGCAGGTACATCTTTTTTAATTCTCTCAACTATTTACTGTATTTACAGTGATTGAAAAACGCAAATTAACAAACAAACAAAGAAAGTTTATGTCAGAATATTAATTAGAAAAGAATAAGTTTCGCTCGAAAAGAATTTATTGAAAAGATAAGCTTTTGCACAATGCATTTATCTAGACATCCATTTTAGACAAATCGAGCTTAAAAGTCAATCCAAATAAACAGTGCAAAACAGTGTAATGTAAATGCATCAAAAATTCTTTATGTATTAAACTAATCGATTGATCTTTTCGTTCATCAAAGTGGTTGTGATTTTGATCAGACTCTGATTGATTTAATCGGTAAACCTTGTCAAATAATAGCTTTTACACACGTATGTGTATATAATTAATGCGAATAGAATTAACTGTATTGTATAGAAAAAAATTGTTAGATCAAGGATGACGAATTGTAGAATTAGATGAACGATTCTATCAATTAAATTAATCGAAGTTTGATTAAAATTATTCCATGCGAGTGATAATGTCCACTTAATGTAGATCAATCTTGGTTTAACTTCGTACCTTTTTCCAATTCTAAGAATTAGAGAAAAGATAAGCAGTAAGTTAAATCGAGATCAAAGTTAATTTTACATTGGTGGAAATAGATATAAATCCCGTGGAACCTATATATATATTCGGGTTGCGGATCGTTAGATCCGCGGGGTGTTCGAAGTTCGCGGTCGAGCGGCGTGCCGGAAGTTCGGCATGGAACGGCTGCGCACTGCGCCGCGCGATTCCCCCTCCCCTCGCGACGTATCGTCCGCCGCCCGTTCGTCGTCGCGGGTCCGCGGTGATCGCAGCGCGATTAAAGCGCGATTCGCCCGCACCGCACGAGAAGTGGAAGTCAGTGGCGGTCAGTGGAAGTGGATACGTAAAATGGCGAGGTGCAGTTGTTATTTACTCGCGCCGAACGCAGCAAAGTGAGGGCGAAACGGAGCAATTCACAAAGTGCTGAGCGCGTTTATTTGCACGAGTTTTTTTTTTGCTAACGGCGTGTCGGCGACTGCGGCCAGCGCGTGCGAAACGATCGTGAGTATCACGCTGTTGCGCATCTCGTTACCGAGACGGCGATCGGTTATCCCCGTGCGGAGAGGAGAGATCGTCGCCCCTCGTCTTGTCGCGTCGCCGCGGCACGGCCACGTGTTTCTCGACGAGCGAATTGTCAATCGCGCCCACGCCGTGCCTCGCCACGAGATAACGCGTGTCGATACCGGCCTACGGAGGCCCCTCCCCGTCCCCGCGACTTAATCCCTTAATCCCGTGCGACGACGAGGTTATGAGAGTCGCCGTTTAAGAACGGACCAGTCGCCGCGACCGATCTCCGTCGCGTATTTCGTCGAAAACGATCGCCGACCTGCCGTTTCGGCGCGACTGGCCGGTCCGCCCGTCGGGTGCACGAGGCCTCCGCTCGCTCCTCGCGGACGGTCGTGGCGTCGAGGGCGCGAGGGAAGCACGGCCGCTACTCCTGCCTCCTTCGTCCCCTCCCTCCCCTGCTCCGGGGCTTTTTTAGGTTATGGTCGTTGCGGTCTTTAAACTGTATGTCCCCGTGCGCCGTCGTGACGCATTGTTGCCTTCAATCTCTCACCTCTCCGTCGTATCTCGAGGAAGAATTCCGCACCGCTGAGATCCCACGAAAATCGGCCTGGCTCTCGCGTTTAAACGCGCGTCGCGATGCTTCCTCCAAAGGTGTCTGTGAAGTTTAAATCATCCTGTCCCGATTACTCGCGGCGTCTCTAGGATCTTTAAACGTGCTGACATTTCGAATATATTAACACATTGATGGGTTAGGCACTTCACGTCTTCACGTACTGCACGAGGAAATGTTTAAACGTAAACAATCTTTTGTTACAGCTGTTCAGTCATTCAAGATCACGTTCATTCATTATGCCAACAATCAATACTAATTTATTGCATGTATCACTCCTATTTAATATTTCATCTTTCGCAGTCAGGCTATATTAATATTTCTTGAATTAAAGATGTCAAGATAAATTCATTAAATTTGACATTTTTCTTCTCTTAATTAAGTTGTATGATCGATGTGAATTCAGTGATCAAATATGTTAACCATGATACGTTAACCATGATGTGATACACATGCGGACATTATTTTGTTCAATTAGAAACTAAAATGGAAGGAGAGCTGCAAAGAATTTTCGCACTAATTGCTCATGTTTCGCTTAGCATGAGATACGTATATTCCAAAATTTGTTGGAACGTACCTCATGATACAAATCTATGCTTGCAATATAAGACTACAAAGAATTGTATCTTTTAACAATTGAGTCAGCAGAGCACGCATGGACTGTCCAAATTGATTAACGTGTCCTTAATAATTAATTGCGTTCCTGATGAGGTTTTCTGTATACATACTTTCTGTATTATACATACACACACACACACACGCACACACATACACACATATATATATATATATATATATATATATATGTGTGAGTGTACATATAAAACATTTGATAATCTCGAAATTATAACACATTTAATATAGTAATTTTTTTATATCTTTTACATAAACAATTCCTCTTAAGACACGCACGCAGACACAGGACTCAATGCTATTATTTTAAATTCATCTGTTGCATGCTACTGTAATTTGCAAAATTATGTTTGCATTCAATGAACAAATCGACACATTGTATAACCAACTAAAATACATGATCATTGTCACATCACTTTTTTTTTCTCGATTATGACATAAGGTATCTTTGAAGCACATACATTGTACGAAATTTCTAATTTTCTTGAACTGAAAAAAGATGCGAGGTACATATAATTCTCTCTACGACAATACGATTAGCGGTTAGCAGAATTTTTGTTTGGAATCTTGGAGGAGAATTAATTTCTATAGGAGACTACTTTAAAAGTTTCTATTAATGTGAAAATTTATTTTTCCTTATTTGTTTCTGACTTTATACTGAATCTCTCTTCAATAAAACATTAAAAATCTTAATATGTTTTAGTATGCTTTAACAGTATTCTATAATTTCTGATACAACTTTACATATGTTTATTATGAAATACGTGCATCATACAAAAATACTCAAACACAATCAGATTCCAATTATATATAAATATAATTTCACAGACGTGATTTTCTATACGCGTGTTACTAACGCTCGTTATATTTGAAGTCTACTACATTATTTTTATAAATTAACGAATTTCTACGTTATTTACAGTACGAGTACATTTCTATATTATTTCAATAATGTTTTCTCCACAATTGTGTATTGTTCGGACATATTTGCTTACCCCCCTTGAAATTAAACTTGCTGCATAGAAGTCAGATATAATTCATGATTGGTTTCCATAGGTTGTACCGCACAAATACTCGTACATTCCTATATTATTTTAGTAATGTTTTCCCAACAATTGTGTATTGTTCGAACATATTTGCTTACCCTTTGAAATTAAAGTTGCTGCATAAACGTCGGATATAATTCATGATTATTTTCCATAGGTTGTATCGCACAAATACTCGTACATTTCCTACATTATTTCAATAATGTTTTCTCAACAATTGTGTATTGTTCGGACATATTTGCTTACCCTTTGAAATTATACTTGCTGCATAAAAGTCAGACATAATTCGTGATTGTTTTCCATAGGTTGTACCGCACAAATACTAGGCAGACTGTTCTACAGACATGATCTTGATGGATTGGTCTAATTCAGGGTATTAGCAATTCAATCTTGATCTTTATTAATTGAACAAAGATCATATTTGCCCAGCACCTAAGTTATGAATAATATGGCACAATATTATAATCTTCTGACCAATGCCAGTGGTACTATCACATTCGAGGAAGTAGAACCAAGAATCTGCGCTGTTGCAGACGCAGGGCAACGAATTCAGTTAGTTGTTGGGGATATTAATAATAGCAGTAATGGTTCACAACGGCTTATGACTTATACTGCTACACCACAAAACAGGCAGGCAATATTTTCCCCGCAAGCTATTAATTTAGGGAATCAAATATCTGCGGCGCGATTGGAACAAGGGTAACTTTACACAGCATGCATTTTCAATTGTTCGAATTATATTGGGATAGTAGAGTGACTCCGAGTTTCGAGTGTATTTAGGATATTTTATAAGAGATGTACAGACTTCAAGGATTTAATTAAATTCTTATAATTTTAATATCTCTCGGAGGAAATATAAATAGGATATTGATGTGACTACTGTGGTTGTGAGAGATATACTTTAATGTGGTTCTAAGATAATATAAATATTATAGTAAATTGTGTATCTTTATACTGTACAATGGGCCATACATTTTGAGATTAAAATATCGTTTCGGTTCCTGAAATGTTTAGTAAATTTACGAACATTCGTAGAGAACGCACTTAGGATTTAATATTTTGCATATGCGAATATATCCAATTTTAAAGTGATTTTTCGTATATATCAGGATTAGAATAATGTGGAAGAGACGTTATCATAACAGGCTTCTTAAAGTAGTCTTCTATCGTATTATTGGACACGCCGCGTAATATATGTGATACACGGAAAAAACGATTTTGTTGAAAGGTCTAAAAATTTTGCTGAATACAGATCTGAAAATAATTTTTTGTTGAATCATCAAAATAATTTGTTGGAATGTTAAAACTTATAAGCATTGCTACAAAACGTTTTGATATTCTAGCAATTATTTTGACATTTGCACAAAATTATTTTGATTATTGAACAAAAATTATTTTCAAATCTGGATCCAGCAAAATTATTCTTTCCGTGTATGTATGTACGAATACATAATGAAATTTTAAATATAATTTTTGTAAAAATAGTGAAATATGACTTTAAATATTTTGCGCACGTTTTATAAATATAAAGTGACAGATTACAAAAATATATATATTTCAAATGTATAACCAATTATATAATATATGTATAATAGTTTTATATAATATACTAGTTTATTATATAAAATACCAATTATATAATATATAATAGTTTATATATATATAGTTTTTTATAACAAAACGTGCTGCAAAAGTCTTGTAAAGACATTAAGAATACCATAAGCTTCTTTTTAAATTTTTCATCCATTATAGTTATTCTACTTATCTCATCTGACATTAACGATATTACATTCACATGTTTTTGTTCAAATATCGATTTTTATGATAATAAGATTTGAGTAATTTTTTCAGTTTGTTCAGGTAATTGAATGTTTTACATTTTATATAAGAGTTTTCCTCTTGTACGCGTGTGCCTCAAAGAAAATATTAGTTTTATATCATAAGCTTACCTACTAATGTATTGATTATGGTGTGTTGTGTATGTATGTACGTATATGTGTATATAAAGAACTTGCTTAAGAAGAACTATGTAAGATAAAAAATGCAGATGTGCAAATTTAATAAAATATAATGAATTAAATTTAAATATGTATTTACGATTGAAATTATTAGAAATAATGATTAGAAATTGTGTAATTAGAATAATATTATGAATAATTTAATTGGTACAATCCTTAACATGTGTGGCCTATGAGCGATCTTTTGTACCAGTAATTATTCTAGTTCTACTCTAAGTTCTACTCTAAGTTCTACTCTAAGTTCTTTAATTTATCAAGTATATGTGAGTTTAAATTTTAATGTAATATTTACTCTAATTGGAAACTTTATATGCTTAAGAAAAAATTATATTAAAATATGAATATAATTATAATTTAAATAAAAAAATACAATCAAAATTAATCTAATCTTATTTTAAAAAAGTATATAATTTTTTTCTTTCACATTGAAACTTTTGTCGAATAATTATTCACCATTATAAAGTTATATCTCGCATCCAGATAGCAAACTTTTATCTCAGTTCTGTTTTTCTCAGTTTTATTTAATCGTTCATCAAGTGATATTCTGTAGAATAAAATAGTCCATATTAGTATATTTTTTATTGACATATATATAATATCTATATTAGTATGTTATGTGTTTAGCTAGAATAAGAAAACTTGTATAACAATATTTGTAATAGTGTTTATTATTTTCAGGCAAAATGTTTTTATAATCAAAACGAATGATATAACTGGAACCCAAGATCTATTAAAACCAAATACAGTGAATATTGTTAATGAAAATATCATGAGCATTGCGAGTAATACAGGTAAATAAATGTGCTTGTGCTATGGTACTGTGCTTTACAAAGTCTGTTAAATTATTTTATATTTCAGTGTTGTGTACACAACATTGATCTCTGGTATTTTTCTTGTTTACAATGAATAAATTGTTCTTTATAGGTGTTAAGGCAGAATGTAAAAATGAAGGTCAACAAGTGCAGTTTATGAAAATACAAAACCCTAATACTATAATAGCGAAGCAAAATACGTTGTTACAAGAAAAAAATCCGACTGCCATTTTAACTAGAAGTAATATACAAAATAATGTCACGTCGCCAGTGAGTTGATACACATAATGTTTAATAAACAAAATTAATTTTACCTTTTTAATGCTGATCTAACAATTACTTTTACTTCTAGGCGCCTGTTTATGTAAATTCTGGATCATTCAATCCAAATCAGGCGGAAAAAAAATTATCTACACTTCATCAGACGAAAAATAGACAGTTAATAAACAACGTAGTGAGTGTGGTATCTCCAGATGGAGTAAAAGTAATAACTACGACAATGGACAATCGGATTCAAAATTCTAATGCAACAAGTCCCAAGTCCACGCTGTCCGTCTGCAAACCCATCGGCTTACAAAGGCAGAATGTGACTGTTAGACCTGTTCGTACTCCTAATTCGAATATCTCGCATGTGCGACCTGTAGCAATAGTTCCTTCTGAAATTTCTAAAACACCAACGAGAGTGCAGCCTACGGATATGGAGCACTTAAATGAGCAAATTAAGCAAGCCAAATTAAAACAATTACAAAAACTGCATATCGAGAAACAAAGGCAAAATAACACACAAAGACAGTTCTCTAACACTTTGCAAGTTCAGTCCTCCGCGTTGAATAATCCCGCGCGTCGTTTCGTAAATTCTGTGCAACAGAGAACGCAGCAGATTTCAGTCTCTCCGCAACAAATACCGAAACCTGCGGTAGCGTCGACCCCTTCACCAGCTGAACACAACACACGCGTAGCTAATATTGACATGGAAGTCAATTCCTCGGAACACGGTCAGGAAACGGAACATGTAGCACAACAGTCACCTTCGCCACGGCTGCAACATGAGAACAGTGCAAGTGAAAGCATCGCTTACCTCCAAAAAACTATAAGCGATCCAGCGAATGCTATAGTGCAGCATCAGATTCAAGGAAACACGGCAAAAATGTTAGTGATGTTGCCCACAGGGGAACAGAGACTGATCACGTTCGACATCCCGAACGAGGACTGCACTGTACACGACCTACTGGATCAGGTACGTGCAGTCGTGGGCAAGGTACGTTTCTACAAAGTTATTTGTAGAAAAGTTGTACAGAATTATTGACAAATTGTTATGTAGTTGGGGGAATTTGAGGCTTTCAGAGAATGTTGTAAGATATTTCAAAATATTGAAGAAATATCTGTAACATCGACATCAACGCTGGATAATTGCAATTATATCCTATTTTGATCCAGCTCTAAAGTTATCAACCACATAATGATCAATAATCGAATTTTTGTTAAATATGTTTTTATACATTATATAAAATACTTTTAGGTGAATATTCCATTCGCTGGTGAAACGCAAGTTTCTCTGGTAGATGATCCTGCATTGGGTATAAACTACATAGTCGATGTAGGAGGTTCCGGGGCGCTTACATCTTTCGAGGGTAGCGACGACTGTAACTCTTCTCAAGAAATTATAAGCTCCTCTGGTACTGAAACTTTATCTCAAAATGCCAAGTAAGATATTCCGCTAATTACATTTGTTTACACTTTTCGTATTTGTTAATATCATATACCAATTTTATCATCACAATTCTTATATGTTTTCAGTGCATCGGATGAAAATAGTAACGCCTCTACACAGACTACTGAGGTAAGCTAATAGGTTTATTGTAAAGAAATTATATTAAATAAGGATATTGGCATAAAAGTTATGCTTTTCAATTCTGTTCATATTGCAAATATATCGGAACCTTATTTTTCTAAAACTTAAATTTCTAAAATTTGGAATCAATATTTAATTATTAAAAAATATTCTGATAGTCGATAACATATAACATTTTTGCGAAAATATAAAATTTATAATATTATTTTTTAATATTATTACTATGCCAATTTCTTTGCTTCAATGTCAGTGTTAATGATAATAGATGTTACTGTGTTATGTTTGATAAATATTTGTATGAATGAGATGTAATAGATATAAAAAATAACAGAATGTAGGAATGAAATGAACTAGATATACAACACAGTTAATGGTAATCTATATACAAATGTAATAATGTCACATTGATAAGAATTTCCGTAACAAAATAAGGGAGTACACTTAAGGTTCATCATTCGAAATAAGTGATATGCTACAAGTACGAAGTATACCGTGTTATTACTAGGAACCTATTATGGTCAAAGGAATGCTTGCTCTCTGTCCACACTGCGGCTACAGTTCACTACACTTCAACCGATGTGAACGGTGTAATACAAAATTAAAAACTGAGGAAGTCAAGTCAATACCTATTGCAGAAAGGAAGGAGGCTGGGATATCTGTCGATGTAAGATTTATGATTGCGCGGTGCAAGAAGACCGATATACCTATTACAATGTTATAATGAAATCACCTGTTATTAATGGTCTATTGTTTGACGTCTGATGTGAATGGCTAATAAATTAATTCACTTTAATTCACAATTTAATTCACTTAAGATTAAGAATTTAACTTAAGTCTATTAACATTTTTATACAGTACGTTTAGAGCGTTTTTTTTTTCTAGAGCGCATATGGTCATTAAAGAAGTGTTTTGTCTAGAGAAAAATTTAGATAAGAATTAGTTCTAAAGTTATGACATTTTATATCACTGCTATGTTATTACAGGTCATATTGAAAGCAGTTTACTACGATCATCTTAATTATATTTCCGTCGGCAATTTCTTCTGCCAATGTTTCTCGTGTTAATTTGTAGATATATATTATGGTTGTATATTTTTATAGATATTCTACAAGAAGAACAACGAACGAAATGTTACGAAATTGGAGAAAGTAGAACGCGACGGCCCTCCGTGCAAACGGCCCAGAGGAAAGGGTAAAGGTGCAGCTTCAAAACCAAAGCCTATTCATAAAGAGCCAGGTATACATATAATAATCTAATGTATTTCACGCATGAAACATGCGTATGCATTAATGATTATTTTGTTAATTTCTAGAATGCTTGACAATATCGTCTGATGAAGAAGAAGAAAGGGGCAGAACTAAAAAAACGGGAAGCGTTAATACTAACGCAGTGGTGGGCAATGCAAGTAACATATTTGATGAAGAGATGGATACCATTCTGGATAAAGAACCAATAATTACAAACACTTCTACTTTATATGACGATTTTCCGATGGATAATGAAGAAAATGGTAAAAGTGTTATATATATTATATAAGATACATAGGTGATCGTCACAATTAACATGTCGGCTGATAATATAATAATGAGATAATATTGGATTTTAGGAATATGTGAAAACTTTTTAGACATTGATCAACTACCACAAACTGCTCTAGAGTGTCGAACGGTTAGAATAGGATCTTACAAATATATTCCTCGGGAAAAGGTAGTAATTTCCCATAGTGGTGTAAGATTTAGCGTACCTTTGTTAGAAGATGGTAAGTTGATTTTACCTATAATTGAAATGTCTGAGTACAGGAAGATTTATATAAGCTTCTTAAAATATTTCCATTATTTTACAGGTTCAAGTTTTGTTACTTTGGATGTGAAATATAGAGATATAATTAAACTTTTAATTCATTTTGGAAAAACAATGCCAGTACTATTCTTTTATACGTCTATAAATAATGGAGCCATGATACGCGAATTGTTAGGGATGCAAGATCCAAAGGGGCCATATTACGACCCTGCTGGAAAAGGTGTTTACACGACTCTTCTATTTTAAATAGTTTCCATAATTTAATGATTACTCTAAAAAGTATTATTTTTTAATTTCCATAATTCTCAATACAAACATATATAAACCTGGATAAATAACTTTATATTTTTATTATTTTTTTTAGATCATACGCATAAACGTATTACATTATTACCGGATAGGTTACCGGAGGATTCAAAAGCGATATTAACAAGTTTATTCTCACGAGGAGATAAAATAGACGAATTGAATCCTAAAGAAGCTAACGATATACTTATACGGGCATCACCAAGAGATGTACGTATTTGACTAAATTCAATTTTATTATACTTCATTACATATAATATAAATGCATACAGGTGGGTGTTAAAAAAAATACCATTCCACATTTATTTGATAGATTGTACACACTGTACTGAATAAAAAAAACTTTAACTGAACATAGGTCGATAGCTCAACCGTTTCTGTGATATAAACATTTTTGTATGTTAGCTGTACATGGGTCGTGCGTATGGCCGTAGTGGTCGTGTTAATGAAAATGCTTCTGTTGCGCGACGTTTTTACGCCTAACGCACAAAATGCTATAACATACGAAAATGTTTATATTTCAGATCAACGGTTGAGCTTTCAAAACCTATGTTTTCACTAAGATTTTTTTACTCAGTATAGTTTGTACTATCTACCATGTAAATGCTGAATGGTTTTTTAACACTTTGTGTATTTATGTATAATATTTTTATATATTTTTACAGTGTTTACAGTCGCTTATTAATACACGGAAGTCTTTAAGCCAAAACACAGCAAATACTACCACTACCAGTGATGACATACAAACGTGAGAATCTTTAATAATAAATTTTTTAATAATCTGATATTATTTGATCTATTGGATAAAATGTATATTTTATCTCTTATTTAATTCAATTTTTTTGTAGTATATAATTATAAATTTGTAAATATGGTTGTTACAATTTTTTATACATAAACTATTTTCTTTTACAGAATAACTGTATATCCACCACCTCCCGCAAAGGGAGGAATAGCCATCAACACTGAAGATTACTTATGTCTCGCAGAAGATCAGTTCTTGAACGATGTGATTATAGATTTTTATTTAAAGTATTTGACCTTAGAGGTATTACCAGAATTTGATCAACATAGAACTCACGTGTTCAGTTCGTACTTCTACAAACGTTTAACTAGCCCACATGCCCAAGCTGCTGAAAGTACTGTGCCAATGACACCTGCCGCCAAACGGCACGCGAGAGTACAGAAGTGGACAAAGAATGTCAATATATTTGAAAAAGATTTTGTTATAATTCCTATAAACGAACAGTAAGTAATTTTGCAAATTTTCTATATAGTTAATATGAGCTTAAGATGCGATTCTTTAGCTGGTTTTCCGATGCTAGGTCCACTCAGAATCACCAATCGAGAATCTGAAAAGTTGAAATCTTTATCGGGATATTAGATGAGTTCACTGAAGAAATTCACTGTATATATACGATGAGTTTAATTATATAGATGAAAGAAAAAGAAAATACATTAAAGTATACACATAAAATCATAAAGTATTATTGCACATATATCTGCGCCTTATTAGCTCATATTAAAATTTATCTAAAAATTTACAGCTTGTAATAAACGATTATTCAATTTTATTTTATTTTCTAAGTAATTCTATTGACTTTCGATAACGCAAGCAGAGATTATATTATTTTACATAACATAATATTGTTTACAGCGCACATTGGTTCTTGGCTATTATTTGCTTCCCTGGATTAGTCGGAAAAGTTTCTACTTGCACTGTTAAAACTGAAAACAGTAGTCCTAAGAATGTGCAAAAGACTAAAAAAATAAAAGAATTGAAAGCAAAAGCTGTCACAATTGGCTCTACAACAATCACTCCTGTACCAACGACCATAACGATAGACCAGCTAGATGATGGATCTGAAAGGGACGAAGCAGAGGGCGACGATGACGAAATGGAAATGGATAGCGACGAAGAGGTAGAATATATTTTATCGTTGATAGGTTTTTTTTATCGCTCTAAAACAGTGATTGTAATGCAACATATGTCACTTATAGGAAGAGACTGACCAACCGGAAGAAAATAAAACCCAAATCAAGGTTAAAGTCGAAGAACAAGTCATCAAGAAGGAAATCGTCAAAAAGGAAATCGTCAAGATGTAAGCAGCATATCATGTATTTGATGCAATCTCTTGTGACTTTGATATTTGAATAATTTAATTTATTTAATTTGTAGCCCCTGCATATTAATATTCGATTCGCTTGCTGGTGCTAGTAGAGCACGGGTAGTTGCTACGTTAAGGGATTATTTAAGTTGCGAACATGTTGCCAAACTTGGTGTAGAAAAGACATTCTCGAAAGACACTATTAAGGGAGCATGCCCGAAAGTACCGCAGCAATCAAATTTTACTGATTGCGGATTGTATGTATTACAATATGTAGAAAGTTTTTTCAAGGCAAGTATATTAAAATATCTTTAACGTTTTTTTTTTATTTACTTTTTATATAACTGATTGCGTAAATTCATCGTTGTGAATTTGTTCCTTTTTTTTTTAGGATCCCATCACAGATTATACTTTGCCAATTAAAACCTTGAAAACGTGGTTCGAAGAAATTATCGTAACGAGGAAAAGAGAGGAGTTATCGAACTTACTAATTAAATTGATGAATAATACCAAAGGGGATAAAACTATTAATTTGCCTACTGTAAATTTCCCCACACAAGACGGCAAGCTGAAGCCGAAGGTCGAAAGTCAGACAGATGTGAAGACTGCGAAGTCAGAATCCGAGAATATTAAAAGAAAGTCTACAAGTGATGCAGAGACACGAATTGTCTCGTTTTCTGTAACAGAAAATACCGAGTCAACTAACGAGTTTGTTAGTAGTAGAACTTATGTCATTCCTTATTCTGTGAGTTCAAATTCGACTGAGAGTAACTCATCGGAAATGTTGACAGAACAGAAAAATTCGAGGTATACATATATTTATTTTTAATATAACAGATATATATTTTTTACAGTTATTGTTGAGTTTTAGCAATTACTTTTGTTTCTGCATTACTTAAATACGATCGCATAATCGTATATGTAAATCGTTCATTGACTTTCAATTGCAATTGTTTATGAATATATCTTTATTACAAAATTTTTTTTCTGCTTTTTAAACATTTTCTGCTATAATGAAATAAAAGTGTATTAATTTTGTATTATTAATAAAAAGCTAAAATTAATAAAAAAATAATAAATTAATAATAATCGCATTAGTTTAAATTATTATATCGATTTTTAGGTCGACATCGACCGAAACAATGTCCTACTTGAAGGCTAAACGAATTCCTAGGTTAGCTGCAAGAACGCAGAATCAAGATGACTCTCCTACCTCTGCTAAAAAACCGAAAGGGGAGTCCTTCAATTCCTGTAAATAAATGTTTCTTTTTTTACAGCGATAAGGTTAATGTTAATCTACATTCTCAGAATACATGAAATCATTTATTTCAACGTATATACAATAATGTAGTTAATTCATGAACCGAATAAAACTGCAGATATGATTTCTGATTGTATGCGTGCAGTCCCTTTATGATTGACCTTGATATTTACTTTATGTAGTGATTTATTTTGTATTATTATTATTTAGATCTACAAGATAGTTTTTGTGTGAATTATGAAGCGAGAGTATGTTTACAGCATCAGATATACATTCTGCAGCGTTCGCGACGTCATTGGTCCATTGCGCCAGTTCAGTTCTCTGCCAGAATCCTTATCGATTGTATACTCACGAAAGTATAAAATTGTATTTCCAAATTTTGTTTTATTGGGACATAATCTTATTTTTTCTGAGTAATTTTTTTTAGCCAATTGTTTTGCATACATTATTTTTTACATCGGACCAACAGGAATTCCGTTGCTTTATAATACCATACTTCGAGACTGTCTCGGCGAGTTATTTAAAGCACCTCGCGATATATTCGCGTAGATATATTTGGTACGCCTAGTTTTAAATAACCGCTACGTGAAGCCCTACTCAATGCGAATGTCTCGTGCGCAAAGTATTTATGAAAAAACCGAAATAACAGAAGTTGGAATAGTAGCCAGTGTGATTTGGTGATTATCTTGTAAGTTTTTACTGTGTTTCTCAATTAAGCTGTGCGATCGATAGAAATAGCAACTCAATTACATAATGCAGTTTTTAGTTCCGCGTTTTATTATTGCACATTGTCACACAGTAAAATGTTCGATAATCTCGATAATAAAAAACAGTGCATCCGACAATTTGTAAAGTAATGATCCGTAAAAGCATTACTTGTACAAACGCTGTATTGGACGATAATACTGTAGGTCTGTCTTTTAACGTGGAATGTATGATGTACCGTTTTATCGGATGTGCTTCATTCACGCTCGTACGTTTTACATTATGTCTGATGTCGCACTTGTTTAAATAGCACGTATCTTAATAGGATAATGCCTGGATCAATAGACTTGATAGTGTCCACAGCGTACATCGGTGTCACGATTTGGCTAGCATATTGGCTAAGGTTGTATGCGCTATTTTATCTTGGTTCGTATCCCCTCACGAGGACTCTGGTCCTCGAATTCATAGCTACGGCAGAACTTTGCGGGGCATGTTTCGAGCTCATTATAAGTAAGTCGAATCTTGTTTTGTAAGTAATTAATTAACACCATGCGATTAACTTTTTGATCGTAATCTTACGGATTTAGACAATTATTTATGTTACAATTATATTTATATGTTACGTATCATATGTTAGCGTTATATTTTTTCAACATGTATTTTTAAGCTATTAATTAAAATCTTTTGTATTATTTTCTGTCATTTTTTTAAATTGTACACGTTACTACAATAACAGTTTGTCCCAAAAGTGCCTCCTTTCCCCCCAAAAAAAAATTTTTTTCAACTTCTCTTCAGTTGCGGACAATTGGGGAGTGTGGATGTACGCGCTTTATTTATTTCTACTAACGATCTGGTGGTCGGCAAACTGGGATGACGCTTCGGCGTGTCCTTACACGCATATGGAGGATGTGGTAATACGTAAAAAGCCCCTGACTGTCGCGTTTTTGTCGATATGCGCGCAATTGGCCGGCGGTCTTTTTATATTCAAGTACATCCGAATGTTGTGGGCGTTCCAATTCGCTTCTACGCACAAGAACAGAGCCTACGGCGATTGCACTACAGATCTGCAGGCAAGACCAAATCGTCATTCAATCCCACAAACCAATTTATTAATTGATATTAATTTTTAAATGTCACAAATTTAATTATTTATTCGGTATATTGGACATGCGCTTTTCAACACGTGTGCGATCCGGATAATTTTATTATTGAATAAATTTAAAAAAAAAACGCGTGCGACGATTTTTCAGGTGTCCGCTGTAACTGGAGCGATTGTGGAGTGCATTGCAACATGCATGTGCAGAGTGGCATCCCGCGTGCTGGGTGACTTGAACCCGAGATTTAGTACGGTTATCGATGCCTTCGTGGGGACGTCTTTGGTGGTTGCAGGTCAGTAAGCCTTTCTATATTCCTGCTCACACGACGTGAAAGAATGTCTGTATCGTTGATCCTTGATGTATAATATATTCCAGCTTTTAATTACACCGGCGGTTACTTCAATCCTGCACTGGCGACTTCTTTAAAATACGGTTGTCTGGGAACCTCATCTCTGGAGCACGTGATAGTTTATTGGATTGGAGCGTGCATCGGATCCATCGCCTCCTTGCGCGTGTACCGTATGCCGTTTGTACAGAATTTCATTCAACTTCAGGAAGGTACAGATGTCGTATATTCTTAGAAAAAAAAAAATGATTCAGTAGAATTTTAAGAGAATGCAAATATTTGTGATTTAATCATCAGTACCTCTTTAGCAACGTACAAAAGTGTAACAACGTACAAAAATGCGTGCCAATTAAAAAACGATAATTTTATACATTCCGATTGTCGTGTAAATAATTATTCAGCTGCGCGCAGTTCTGATTACATTTCGGAGTCAAAAAATGGTTGAGCTTAATAAATATTTTAAAAATATTATGTAATAAATTAATTGATATTGAAAATTACTTAATCGATGTTGCATTTTTACTTTTGCGATCTTTTATGAAAAAGAAACTGATGACTGCGTGATGTGTAGTTTAGGGCAGAATACAATAGATAAAATATATAATAAGATATTTTTTTAATATCATCATTTTCCTTTATTTGTCCACATATATATATATATATATATATATATATATATATATATGTATATATATATTTATTTAACAATACATAGATATTCATTCATCAATGATTAATAACGATATAAACTTTATGACATTACACGTACATAGCTAAAAATAATTTCCTGCGATAATAATGATACAAAGAATTATAACACATAATTATGAAAAATATAAAAATAAATATATGCATTACACAAAATAGAATACATGATATTAACAAATGAAAAAAATCCATGATAGAAAGACGCAATGTAAAATGTTACCGTATCTTTTGATAATATTGAAAAAACTATATATAAAATTCCGCCTTAGATGATAAGTCATATTCAATCACTTCGTTCTCATACATTTCGATACTCTGCAACATGATCAAACAAACGTATTATTTCACAAAATTTAATTTTGTCGATAAAAATTAGGCAATTGCTTAATTCTTTATAATTTATTTATTACATATTTTCTCTATTCTTAAGTAAGGTATTAAACAATAAAACATACGTTTAATGACGATCGTTCATTTTTCTTCATTCAATAAAGGGCAGAAATAAATTTTTAAAAAAATTTAAAACGTTAATTAAAACTTAATTTGAAAATTCTAAAGAGAACCATGAAGAAAAAAATTGGTATTGCTATCTTCTAAGTTCACCAATCTGTTTGTGGAAAATCTAATACATTTTTCTATTAAAAAAGATCGTTAGGACGAATAGCCGCTTAAACTTACTGTGTCAATATCCTTGTCCAAGTCTTTCACTTGTTTTTCATGCGTAACTTTTAGTTTTTCCTTCTCACGGCCCTGCTTGATCTCTGTATTCTTCCTCTCTTCCACGAATTTCTTTGTATTTTGTTGCTTCTTTTCACGAAGCCGCCTGTCCTTATCACCCTTCGTTTTCAAAGCTTTATCATTCATCACCTCTTTTGCCGTTTCCACAGACATCTTGGCTTGATTGGTGTTCAAATCTTTTATATCTCTACAATTTTAATTAACATATGTTTAAACGACATGTACGTTTAACGTTTAACGTGGCAAACGAGTGTCAGAACTTATGCTGTCGCGAAGATTTATCAGGGGATAGTGTAAATAAATGGCGTGAACCAACTTGTCGTGCTTCGCCTGCATCTGTTTAACTTGCGTGGCTTGCACGACCTCAATCAGTCTCTTTAACTCGTCGCGAGAGCTCTGCGTTTGATTCTTCAGTAATTCCCATTCCTCCTTCCTCTGCTTCTCCATCATAGCGGACCATTGAGCCGTTTGTTCGCTTATTATTTTCTTCACATTCGCATCCTGCGCCAGAGCATTTTTGCTGAAAATATCATATATGTATAATAGATGTACATATTAAATAAATCTAATATTGTAGATTTCTCAAATCTCTTTATACGATAGAATTACATTAAAGTAGAAAATTTCAATGTACTCTTTTCCTCTAGTTAATTTTTCGATGGCACTACAGTGATTTTTCTGCATAGTTTGCCTCTCTTTAGTATGTTTCTTCTTCAAAGTATCCAATTCTTTCTGGTGCTTTTTACCCATTTTGAAACCCTTCTCTTTTTTCAAGGATTCTAACGTGATAGGCTCCAATTTTAATACCTCCGCTGAAATTGCATGAACTGTATGACAAATAATATTCCCAGCAAACACAGATTATAACTGCAATGTTGCAGTTACAATCTGAGATTTGGTATAATTTGCTATTCCGTTACCATTCAATTTAATCAAACAATCATAAAAAAACGTATATAACTTTAATTGTTACCCTTCTTCGTTTCTTCTTCTTTCTTCTTCTTAGCGTCCGCCTTAGCATCCGTCTGTTCTATTCCGAGTCCCTTCATCGTTTCGGTTTGCTTCTCGGCGGCCTTGCTAAAACCGCCCGGATCCGACAAGGCGGCCATAAAGTCTGAAATTGGAGGCGTGCTTGTGGGCGAAAGTCGTGAAAAGTGCTATACTATTTTTGAGCCGCGGGGAATGCTACCTTCGAATCCATCGGGCACGTAAATCTTCAGCTCTATGTTGCAGAAGAGCATGGGCAGGGCCATCGGAAAGTTCGCTTCGGTCTTCAAAGAGATATGCCTGTAGCCGGCCTGAAGGCCGTCCAAGGGTAAGATTCGCTGTCCGAGCAATTTGCCGCTCTCCTCATACACACCTGCGCGAGATAATTCGTGATTACAAAAATATTCGATTTGCCGCCAGACACGGCAGCGTTTATTTATTTCAAATTTATACATTGTGATGGACGTATCCTCGTAAAGAAGAGACGTCTGCAGTACCGAATCTGAGCACCGCCAAATCAGGAAGCACGACCTTCCGGAATAAGAACGGCTCCTCGTTGTAGACCGGATTCAGACCGTTCGCCGGCACCATCCGTGTCCTGAATTCCTTCTTGATCGTGTCTGCTGGCAGACCGTACATGTCCACCTCCACGTACGTGCCCACCTTCTTATCCGACAAGAATTGCCCGGCTATGACCTGAACCGCGCACTGCGCGGTGATGATGCCGTCGACGTCCTCGGAAAAAGGATCGAAGCCTCGATCGGGTCTCCGCATGAAGTCGGGTTTTAGCAGATAACCCGTCGTACCGTTGTACTCGAATTTCCCCTGATTGAGCTGCATCGGCAGATCGGGAGTTTGAAAGTTCAAAGCCACCATCTGGCAGCCGGCGTTCCAGAAGACCTGAATAAACGAAAGTATTTGCATAAAATAAAATAAGTATACCTAGGAAACAAGATGGTCGTCGACTTTTTCAAAAAATATACTTAACGAAAGAACGACTTTCCGTGTATTATTAAATATGGAAAGAACGAATTTTATTAAAATATCTAAAAATTTAATAGATTAGAGATCTGAAAAGAATTCCGTTGGACCATCAAAATAATTATATAGAAAACTCAAGTATGATAAGCAACGCTGCAAAAAGTTTTGACATTCTAGCAATCAGCTCGAACGTTTCAATAATCCAATATTTATACATATAATTATTGTGATAGTCTAACGAAATTACTTATTTTTAGATTTGTTTCTAGCTAAGTTTTTAGATACTTTAGAAAAACCGTTCTTTCCGTGTAGGGACATAACGTGAGTAATAGCTCTGCGGGGAATCTAAGCGCGTTTGTGTATCGTTGCAGTTACCTGGGGCATGTAATTCGACGAATCAGCCCTCGTGCCCTTTGGATATATTCGACTCATTTGCCGCTTGTTGTAATTAACGAACTCCACGGAGTGAGTTTTCAGATAGTTAAGAGCGGCAGTCTCGGAGAACGAAGACATATTATGATGTATATTCTTGCCTGCAACGTCGGGGTCGAGACATTAGTACATGTCGCCCGTGCGACACGTGCGCACGTGTACGCTCATTCATTTAACCCTCCTTAAGTCTCCGGGACATACGCACTACCACATAAACGCCCGTTACCTCGGTAAATTTAAGGTACATTATTGTACGCAAAACTCGTCGCGAGAAAGAAAGAGTAATAATAGTAATATTAAATTTCATGCATTTACAGATCCATTAGATCAAATTTTTAGCATGATTTTTTTACAATACCGTAAAAATTTAAAAAGGAATAAATACACAGACAACAATTTTAATAGAATTATTGACGAGTAATGTATAGCTATTTCTATTATTTAAAAATTTAAATATACTATGTACATCTCTTTTTTTGGAAAAAGAGATAAAGAAAGAAAATTAATTAATGAATTTAATCCTGTATGTATTGCTTAACAAAAAGTTATGGAAAGTCTCATAAAATGCACCATTATATTAAAAAAATGAGAAAAAATGAGAATCAGTTAGTTTGACTGCTTTGGTAGTGTTAAAAATGATTCTTATAAGTTCTTAAAGTTATCACAAATTCGCACGTTAATCATCCTAATGTACTCTATTACAGATAAGTATGATATTTCGATAAATACATATATCTGTATCGTACTCTGTGCAGACTCGAAACTCTGGAACTTTATTGGTTGCGCGTAGTTTATCATTGCCGAAAGATAAGGATGAACTCGCATTGTACTGCCCGTATATTGAATCGCTTGTACTTCTTCGGTTCCTTCGCCTGCGGCAGGAGCTTCGCCTTCCTGCACAATTGTAAACTTATTATAGGGTAGGTAACGCTAAAATTGTTAATGTCAATTAAAAGGATAAAAATTGTGAATTTTAATTGACATTAACAATTTTAGAGTTAAAAGGATAAAAATTGTGAATTTTCCAGTGAGAAAAAAAGTGAAAAAAGTAGAGCAAGATTATTTAAGCTTTCGCTTTTTTTTAGATTCATTGATATGGTTGATCACCTTCGGTGGCTCCGGCTCTGGAGGTGGAGCAGCTACGGGTGCACTGGCATCCTCTGTCATTTCATCCTTGTCTTCGAATTGTCCGGCGCGGAAGAGCTCGAGCTCGGTCTTTTCCACTTCCGGCTTCAATCGCTTGTTTTTAATCAATATCTTACGTTTCAGCGCGCTCGGCGGAGGGAGAGGGCTTCCAGGCTCGAGCTGGAATTAATGTACACGCCCGCGTAATACATGATTAATTTTAATTCGCTGGCCGCGGCTGTTAAACGCGTGTGTGATGTCCGTCGACGCATCTCTCACTCACAGGATAATCTTTCAGGGGCTCCTTCAGCAACAGGTCGCCAAATATTTCGTCGCAATACTTGGCCAGTTTATACTGCTGCTTCATACAACAGTGATTCTCGAAGCTCAGAATTATGGGATACTCGGAAGTGATGAACGCGGTGTCTCTTATGGCGTAAATAACATCCTTGAAGAGAATATCGGTGCACATAGCTTTGCCGTGAGTTATGATCGGCTCCTCGTCTTCGCCCTTCCCGTCCCAACAGTCCAGCTCGACGCACCTGTAATTGTAAGTCTCCTTTCATATACTACTCTTTGAAAGAAATTATTTTAAAATATTTTTCGGTCTATATATATACACCGTTTTAATGTCGTTACAAACTGAACGACTGAAAGATCGCATTACCTGCAACCAGCAAGCAGAACCTGTCGATACATTTCAACGGTGCTCTTGCCACCGATCTGACGTCCGCTGAGATAAGTGTTGTGGCTCGAATTGATGTAATAATGCGCGAGCGGTTGGTCCATGTCCATCCACTCCTCCAATTTGTCTAAGAATACTGGCGCGTTCTCATCCGACATTAAGTATCGTATGAAACCGTCCTTCGTTAGCTTCTCTAAAAATGACGAAACATCAGAATGAGATGTAAAAAATGGGTAACGACGGGAAAAAAATTATATTCTGCAGAAACTCACTTTCCGCTTTCGCTTTCTCATCCGTCTCGTAATCATTGATGATCTCTGTGCATCTCTTTTCCGTGTACAGCGGATACAAGATCTCATTGAGTCGCGGATCCCTCTGCTTTGTGTTCATGAATTCCACCAATTGCACCAAACTTATAGTATCGGTTTTCCCTTTCGTGCTATAAACAAGAAAATAATTTGCCCTCTATAACGTGAGAAATGATTATACTAAGCTCGACTTATTAATACTTACATGGATTGAAAAAGTTCCTCGATATCGTTTCTGGGACATATCTTGAAGTACAAACTGTAAAACTTATCAAACGTAAAGGCCTCTGGTTCTATTTTATCGTTCTAAAACGTAAAAAATAGCAATTTACAAAATATAATATGCATTGATGTATTTTTTAGATTTACAGCTTAAATACAATCTATAATATAATAAATATCTCATTTACAATTAACACTAACATTAACAGAGCCACATCTGAATAGACAGATTACGCGCAGAGTGTACTATAAATTTCTGATACTAAAAGGGCAACAAATTTTATACAGTCTCTGTATATAATATCTGACGACGTCAGCAAACTGCTGCTAGAAATCAGATAAAATCTGTTCACGTTCTATGTACAGATTGGCAGCAGAAATCGAGCAAATTTTTCAAACACAGTATTATCGTCAGATTTTCGGCAGAAATCGAGCAGGAGCTGCGCTGTCATTGAATATTTGCAAGACTACTGCTAGGTAGTGTTTGTTGGTATTCGTTTCTCGCATTTAAAATTTGTCGAGCTTCCTATATAATCAATATCGAAGCTTGGATATATATGTATAACCCAAATAAATCTTTTTACTGTGCATATAATACTGATAGAATTTGCTACAACAGCATAAAATCTGCTGTGTTAGCAAATTATTTTTCTTCATAAATAATACACAAAAATAATTGTAACCAATAGAAGAACAAGAAGTCATGATATTGTTAAAATGACTCATAACTGATCGAAAAGTGACTTTTAATAATCATTTTGATGTCACGACAACGTATTCTTCTGTTGGTTACAATTATTTGTGTATTATTATATATATATGATATTTATTGTTAGTACGAGATATGAATATTTTTGTGCACAAAAGAAGCTAATGCACAGAGAACAAGGACGAAGATATTTTTACATATATCTTTAAATGAGAATATTCTCGGAAAGAGGAGAATCAAATGCTTTAATGTAAAATACATATATTAATTTTTATTAATAAAACAGTTTAAAATAATTTCTTTAAAATAAAATTTAAAAAGATTAGAAATGCTACTTTTAAAGATTTTCCAATATCAATGACAACTTAAATGCTTACAAAATTGCAAAGTCTGCTCGATTTTTGTTGTCAATCTGCTGCATTGTCAGATTCTGTTGGGTTTCATTTAAATACCAAATAAGCTATGTCGAATAAGTATATTTAAAAACATATAAACTTAATATATACGAAGTAATAACAAGATAATAATTTTGTATACGAGATAATATAACATTTTAAATTTATATGCAAAAATTATTTGCAAGCAAACTTTTACATCGAATTGAATGAAAATAGTATTAATTTTCTACTTCAAGCGAAATTGAAAAAAGTTGTGCACCTACTTACAGCGATAACTTCGAAATTTCCTTAAATGAACTTTAAATAAACTTTATTGATCGCGTTCAAATGTTAATTAAGGCCTTTCCCTTTTGAAAACTCCCGTACTTATTGACTCACCTTTCCACTGGGCAGACCTAGTTCCGATAATCCTTGATAAACGAGTTTCTCGGTCTTTCCGGACGCAAAAGTCTTTGATATCACTTTCACAGGAACCTTTCCCTTCGGGTCGACTTGGAAACTTAGCCGCATCCAACTGGCAGATCGGCGATCAGCCAAATTTCATTTAATGATCAAAATAAACAGCGTCAGCATTAGCATTCGAATAAACATTTGTTATATTTTTGCGCAGCATATATTAAATTCGAATTAATGAATACGTACTGTTTCATAAGCTGTATTGTTGGACAAACGTTACTTGCTTTTGTATTGTGCGTAATTAAACGCAAACCAGCCTGCCAATCCTGAATTGATTAACCACAGATTAGCATTAACATATAGAGAAGTTAAATAAGAAGATAATTGAGAGTATTAATTACATTAGCGATAAAGCAACATAAAATTAACATAAATGCAAATTGTAAATGCAAATTTATATTTAAAACAAAAGGTAAAAGGGTAAATTAAATAATCAAATTAAATATTAAATTGCGAGTAATATAATTCTTCATGTTGGGGATTAATATTTAGTTGTGTTATCGCGCTATCAGGAGTAATTTAATTATGTTAAAAATAAAAGCGTTTATAGAATTAAATCTTAGAAATAATTACAGTATTTATAGATTTTCTAAAGTTTGAATTTATATGTATACAGTTTTAATCCTTTCACAACTTTTCAATTATTACCTTAGCCGTTTGTGCATCCGGGCATACAATGTGCTGATAAATAATATTCGTATAATCCACCCCGGAGCATATAGTCAAACTTTTTTGGTCTAATTGCTCCAATGTCCCATGTTTACTTAATTTATTGCATAACTTTGGATCCTAAACAGACCGAGCGTCGACCGTTATTCGATAAAACGGAGTCATTATTACTGTAATATCTTTTTTTTATGACGAAATTTACCTTTGGCGTGCCTCCGTAACGAATGTCGCATACTTGAGCCAATTCTATGACATCGCCGTCCTATAAAAAAGTCATTTAGATACATCGTGAGCTCGTTTGTTGAAAAATGATAACCGGACGATTTGTCTATTCAGAAAATGGAGCTACGAAAATTTTATAGAGATCGAGCTACCTTGCCGTCGCTTTTCCAATATATAAAGAAACCGTACTCGTCGACTTTAAATAAGCAGTTCGGCTCGTATTCAGTCGTCTCCTTGTCTTCGAACCATCGATCGAACGTCGCGCCATTTCTCAAGAGCTCCGGCACTTCGATGCGCCAATTAAATTCGAACTTCTTTGTCATGGTACGGGAACTTTAAGCGGAACGACGTTAACGTGAACTTCGATGCGAACATGAGCTTGCCCGGTGCTCAAATGCGAGGGTGCCATCGCGGGACTTGTGTCCCAGAGACGCATAACGCAATTAGTTATATCCAATTTACCGTATGAGGATTCAATACGATGGAAACCCGCTGCGTAACGAAGATTCTAAACTTATATAAGCGCGTACATGGCGAAACCTTCTCTAAAGTTCTCTATGTTATATAGTCGCTCAATAGCCAAATATA